GCACTTCCTGGCAAACTTTCGCCCACATCAATGAGGTAATATGTTCAAAATGACTCTGAAATGCATCTTTAATGAGTTAAGTACAACACACCTGCAGACAATTGGAGTAACACATACCTTTAGGTGCAATCTCGAGCTCTCAGAAACCACACGGCTGTTACGGCAATCAATAGCGCTGTCATCTGAAGTCAGCAAGCACGGGCTTAGCGCCAAGCACATCTGTCTTCATAGAGAAAATCATCCCTCAAGCTTCGTGCCACTGCGTTGGCCAGAACACCGTTCAGGGCGAAGTTCTGTTTTGTTTTTTCATGGACTTCTTGCCCGTGTAGAACCATCCGGAGAGCAAACGACAACCGTCACTGGGATTCTCTAGTAAATATTTACTGGGCACAATTCCGGGGGGCCCCAGGGCAAACACAGACTAATGACAGGAGCCCTGGACCTTAAACTAACGGTATTTTTTGTTTTTTTTGTATGACCTGGTTTACACCTTCATGGAAATTATTATCTGGTTAGTGTGGTTACCACTGCGCCCGCCAGCATGTTCCCGGTGGCAGTGGAGCGGACCGAGAGAGAGCCCCAGGGACAGCGCCACCCTGTGGACACGGTGAGGTTTGCACAGGCCCCGTGTGTCTCATGAGGGTGTATTAGTTGCCCCGTCTGCGTGATGCCTTGTCCTGGAATTTATTGCCTTAAAGCAGCAGCACATCTGTGGGTCAGGGACCCAGACGTGGCTTCGTGGGTCCTTGGCGGCAGCCACGGCATCACTGGCCAGTGGTCGTCCCAGCAGCCGTTGTCCTGACTCAGTTCCTTCTGGGTTCCAAGGAGACTGCAGGGCCCTGCCCTCCTGGGAGCCCCCTGCGCTGACCCACAGGCTTCAGGTCACTGGTCACACATCAATGGTGGTACTAGAAACAGTGACAGCTGGTGGTTTTGAATGTCGACTGTGGGACAAGCACCCTGCTGAGCCGCCTCCATGTTGCAGACCAGGAGGACGCTCCAAGCTTCCCCTGACCACTCGGGAGACTCCCACCCAGGATGCCTGGTGCTGACGCCTGGACTGCAGCCTCCCAGAGCCCACGCTGAAAATTAAGGAGTTGAACTAAATAACGAACACTGAGGTGAATTCAACAAAATCATGTGGATGCCCACCGCCTGCGAGGCCTGCAGAAATCTCCACGGCTTTTTCCTCACGACTCGGAGAGGAGTAGGGGGACAGTCAAAGGCGGCAGCCTGAACGGGGTCTGTGCTCACGACTGACGACACAGCTCCGGCCCCGGAGCTCCCAGGACACCTGGGCCTTCAGGGCACCGTCTGTGGACATCGCAGGGAGGACAATTTCCTCACCGCTTATTAGGGAATCTCTTTTGCTACACGTCTCCACTATTGGGCATGTGTGGCACCAACTCACGAGGAGCTTAGTAAGTATTCAAAACATCCTGTGTGCCTGGCGGGTGCGGCAACACATTGTGCCCAGAAACCTGGGGATGACTCTGGAATGGACTCTACATATTTGCACTCGGGGGGGGGTGGGCGCCGTCAGATGTTGCCAATAAAGCGAGGGTCAATTATCTGGCCGTAATAACCTAAATGAATGCCACATGCAGGGGTGTTCAGGCTGCTTAACATGCCGTGGGTTTTAAAGGGACTTGACACATGGAGCTGGGTCTGTTTTCTTTTGAGCACAGAGGTCGAGATTCAGAGGCCGCCGCAGCGTCCCCACATTCCTCTCCGTGGGGCGGCGGGTGACATAGAAGGGTGATTCTGAGGACTCCAGATTCAACACCTGCTTCGTGTGTTTACTGTGAGGTGTAGCAGGCATTGGCTTTTCAGAGGCTCCACCCTGGCCTGGTACCTGCAGGTTCTGGTGGGGAAGATGCTCTCCTGCCTCCCCCACTCCACCCATTCCTGTGGGAGACCCACCCTCTCCTCACCCCCCACCTGTCTCAACAAAGGACCTGGTGTTTAGTACCTGCTGAAAATTAGAATTGAACAGAATAACGACCCGGAGGTGAATTCAGTAAAATCACGCGGATGCCCACCACCTGCAAGACCTGCAGGACTCACGCGGGAGCCAGGGCAGCCGCCGGGACCCACACCTCCTCCAGGCTGCGCAGCTGAGTGCCCCCGGGAGCACGGGGCCTGTGAGGTCGTTTTCCAGCAAGTGGAAGGAAAGCCTTTGCAGGCAGTTAAAGGGATTTCACGCAAAGTGATGATAAAATTCCATTCAAAGATGCAAACTTGGCTCTCCTGGCATACAGAACAGACTCCTAAACAGAAGAGCCCTGGAGAAGATGGCCCTCTGGTCTGTGACCCGGGAACCTCGTGCTCAGGACGGTCACAGCAGGTTACAGCCTGTCCTCCTGGACGCGTGGCCAGAGGCTGAGCCCCTCAGGGCAGCAGGCCTCTTCCTCCAAAAAGATGTTTTAACCAAGATTTGAAACAAGTGAAAACAAGATAAAACCAGCTGAACTTTCATGGGTTGTAACGAAAAAGGATTGTTTTCTTCTGAAATTGCAGTTTGGGTGCCGCCTACGTTTCAATGTTCAGAACCTGTAAACTCAGGTTTTCTCAGTGGAGTTATTGTGACACATGGAGCCGAGCCAGCCTGTACTTTTAAGTTGAATCCTGAGAAAATTCTAAATCACATGCATTTTTTTGTTTTTAGCTCTCGCCATTAATCAACTCACCGGTCACTGTCCTGAAACCCTGAGTCCCTGGCGTCTGAGATGAGTCCAAGATCAGTGATCCTGCTGCCCCCAAGGACGTGATTCCTACCACCATCTGTTTCCTTCATTTGCCAGAGCGGTGAGTTACGGCCTTCGTGGTTGGGATCCTTTCCCCTAATTCCTGCTCATTTCTGCTAAACCGTGAGTTAGCTCAAAATGCTCCCAGCCCCGATGGGCCGTGACAAATAGCACAGTCCCCCCACCGCCCTGTGCCCACTGCTCTGCTTCAAGTCCAGGACTCGGCTCTGCTCATCGCCTGCCTTCTGTCGCACGTCAGAAAACCTCCAGAGGAACTAGAAAAATATTGACATTGAGGAACGTGAAACGCATGCTGAAGTGTGAGGTTAGCCGTCAGCCTTGGCGTTCTGAGCGCCAATTTGTGGTAACCCGTGTGCGAGGAAGGGGCAGGGCCCAGGCCTCAGGTCCAGACCCCTGAGCAGCCCCCCTCCTTTCCTGCAGGCCCAGCGTGGGAGCCTCCAAAGTTAGGCCCATTTTCAGTTCTGTTCCTGTAATTGCCTCACTTTCCCCTTGGGTCCCAAGCTTCCCTCAAAGGGTAAGAGAAGCCAGGTAAGTGCGGTTACAAAGGGTTGTGCTGGTGATTTTACACCCTTCCCCTCCCGGTGGCTCCCGAGTGCCCTAACGCCTGACTTATCCATTCAGTCTGGCTCAGCTTCGCTCACAGGAACACAGTCCACCGAGGGGCCGGCTGAGATAACCGCGCCCTCGGAATCTGTGGGGCACGCTGATGGGCTACAGCCCGGATTTTCAGGGGGTAGGGGGCGTTTCCCTATGTAAGGGGGAGGTGAATTCAGCGAGTTGTTTTTCTCTGGATGCCCATGTGTGTGTCGGGGTTGCTTCTGGCAAAGTATAAACAGACCCATAACTAGGATGTTAACCTAGTTCAAATGAGGGAAGGATGTGACCTGCAGGTGGCAGGTCTCCTGCCTGAGTGCAGGACAGCATCCCTCCCGCTGGGTTTGGTGACTTGGTGCCCCCTGCAGGCTCCAGAGAGAACGCACTCCCCACGCTGAGCGTGAGAAGGGATCCAGAGCTCCTGGAACTCGGAGCTGGGGGCTCAGCATTTGAGGTGGCGGCTGCACAGCTCAGGAAGCCAGCACGGGGTCAGGGGCCCGAGGGCTGTGGTTACTTGTACACGTGGGTCTTTCTCCCTCACTGGGCTCCTACATCGAGCTGACCCTGCAGGGCTCACTGGGAACCTGATGCAACTAGGTAAGTGCCGATGATCACCAGCCCGGCGAGAGCCAGTGTGTGTGCACTTTAGGGAGTCAATACTTAGCCTATCTTTTGATCCTCAGTGATATTATTGAGCATGGCAGACAGGACATAACTTTTCCAAAAGGAAAACTGAAATTCAGAAAGATTGAGTTCAGAGGGAAGAGTCAAAGCCAGCCCGCCTCTCCAGACTTTGTACCAGGGGCGCATTCCCACAGTGATGCTTTATGTTCTTGCTACCTTTTCCCATTGCTTTTCAGAGAGAGTGGGAGGGAGAGAGAGAAACATCGATGTGAGAGAACACATGGATTGGTTGCCTCCCGCACAAGCCACCAGGGCTGTGGATAGAGCTTGCAACCAAGCTACATGCCCTTGGCCGGAATTAAAACTGGGACCCTTCAGTCCACGGGCCAACGCACTAACCACTGAGAAACACCACCAGGGCTGTCCTTGTTACTCTTCTGAGCAAAGCTCTGGGACCACGGGGAAGTGCTCACGCAGATGGTCTGAGGCCACACAGAGGGTTAGGGCCACAATGGTGAAGACTCAGCTCGGGCAGCACCTTCGCTCAGACCCACTGCTAGACGTGAAAATGGCTCTGAGCACCCGAGCTGCCCACGGACACACCCCACATGTACAGATGCGCAGCACTGCACACTCACTGTGGCCGTCTGGGAAACCAGCTAATTGTTTTAATTTGCTGTTGGCAAAATAACTGCTTCACCCATGGGAGGGGGATGGTACTAAACTCCCAGGACAGTGTGGGGACCCCAGGGCAGGACAAATGTGAGGCTGGTCTGTGTCCATCTCAACCACCTGTCTGGTCAGTTTCTTAGTTACTCAGCTCAGGGTCAAGATTCCAGGGAGTGAACATCTCACATCCGTGTCACCAGGCACGTGGGCTGGAGAAGGCACATCCACAGTTGTCAGCCCAACCCCAGCCCATAATCAGCTACAAAAGGAAGTGTGGATTGAGACTGAATGTTATGCTAAAAAAAAAAAAAAAAAAAGACAGAAATTCCACAAATGTCTACCAAATGCATTTCAAAAATGTGAATCTTTATTAGACACCAATTGTACTGAGAGATTCTTGAACAGACTTTTATATTGTCAAAATGTAAACTGTCTGAATCTACTATGTAATGTGACTTTCACTATAAAATGAAATTCCAATACTCAAAACTGCTCTCATATCCACTGAATTTACTATTTTGATTTATGACATAACTGTTCCAAATATATCACACAGGGAACAAAACCTACTGTCGTGTTTTTACACTGAAGTCATTTAACTTCAAATCCATGCCGGGGCTTGGTCTGGGCAAGGCCACTGTGCTGATCCCAAAGGGTCCCCAAAGACCCTGGGCCTCAGCTCCGGCCACGGCGATGCTGCTCTGCTGGAGGAAAAAGCTGGGCAGCGGCCCGTGAAGGAGACCACCTTGCCCACAGCATCGCGATGTAGCGACAGGGACTTTCAATCCGCGCTGCAGCTGGACACCAGCTCTTGGTTGGAAGCAACTCTTCCGAGAACCAGCTCTAAAAAGTTCCACCTCAGCTACATGTGGGCTTCATTCGAGCAGCCGCAACGCACCTGGCCCTGGTTCAGAACCTGTCCGTTCCTGGCAGATGCTACTGCTTGTGAGGTATCATTATGCATCGTAATTCCTGCAGCAACCCCGTGTTAGATAAACGACAAAGACAACTTGAGTCTGAGCATAATTAGTCGCAGACAAAACTGTGTCTCGATGAAAACCATCTTTACAAATGACGTCGCTGCGGGGACAAGGCCTGCGACGTGTGCGCTTTGGTTCTGAGAGGGTGGTGGAGGGAAGTTTCCCAGGAAAATGGCACTCGCTCTGCCGCTAGTCGTTTTTTCTCCCCCTCCTCCTCTCTCTCACCACCTCCTGCAGGCTCTTCAGGTCAGCCATCACGTTCAAAGTCTTCTGCACCCACATGATCTGAAAGCGAGCGCTGTGAGTGTTTACACTGGGAAACAGGGGAAGCAAGAACTGGGCAGTTTGTAACATACGCACCACAATGATCATGGCGTTGAGGAGCAGCGGCGCCGAGAACACGAGCGAAATGAACATCCCCCTCGAATCGAAATACTGGTATTTTGAAAATAACCTGTTTTAAGAGAAATTTTAAAATCACTTGGAGTAACGAAACAGTTTTAAATAACACTCTCTGTTTAGTATAAGGCTCCTGGAGGTCTTATGTCAACCAAGGTGGAACCGGCTACCCCATGACTGCACCGGCCATCGGTTCCTTCACAGTCCAGACCTTGATGCCCCTGGTGGAAGGCAGGGCTGAGGCCTAGACAAGGGACACCATGGTCCCAGGAGGGCAGAAAGGCTTCAGCGTTCCCTCCCCTCAGCCCCACGTGCACCCAGCTCTATCACACCACTTCATTCTGCAGCTAACGTTACTTTAAACAGGC